CATTATTTCTCATTTATCACTGCATCAATTCTGTTATTTACCATCTGTAAGCTGACATCAGTATTCTGCTGTTCTCACTAAGCGACATGCATAATTACTGCCTCCTCCTCTCCCATTGTCTTTATATGGACCTTATTTTTCATTCAGTTTCCAATAAACTGGCTGCAGCTTTCCTAATGATGCATCCGGCTGTTATTGTCACTGTACAGCTTATAAGCTTATCAAAGTTTTGTCCCTTTTTTCAATTTTTCTAATTTCTATTGTTTTTTTTAGTCCTATCTATCTTTTGGTATTCGTTTTTTATGGCTGTGGTTGTTTTAGACAGTTATTTGTATTTTTTAATTATTTGATTTCTGCTTCAGTCGTCTTTTATATATGTGTATATATACTTTTTTTCATATAAATATTGTGTTTTATAGTCAGCAGCCCACTTTTACATTTCTGTATTAACAAACTCTCAAGCCCACAGCGTCCTCTGGAGGTCATTGTGTTGAATTACTACATGCTGAGAGACAAAGACTGACTTCAGCTCAGTTTTACAGGCTGCATCTCTGGTATGTCTGGTCTGATTTGGATGAAACTCGGAGAGATAAAAACCCTGTGTTGAGATATTTAAAAAGCCACACCGTTTAATTGGAAGGCTGATTTTTATTCCAAGAAGAATCATGTAGATTTGAAGGACGCTGAAAGAAAAAGTCTGAATGTTGAAGTGAAAGTTATTCGCAGACGCCACTGATCTGATTTGGACAAAGTGAGATGAAGCACTTTAATACTCCACTAAACTGCTGCTGATTAAACTTCTGGATGTTGCTGATTGGCCCTGCGCTCTGGTTGTGTTATCAGATACACTTTGCATGATTATTCACTCAAGTAAATTGCCTCTGAGTTAATAACCAGAAGCTCCTCTTTTATTTGATGGTGTCTTTCTGTGAGAGTCTGTCCTCTGTCAGCACTCAGGGATCATTTTCTGGTGAAACTTGACAAGTTGATTAGTTTAAAAGGCATCAATCAAATAAGTTATGTCAGATTTTTATCTGAGGTGTTAAAAAACGTTGGTTTTGAATGTATTTACTGTCAATTCTGTTTTGTTTTTTGACTGTGTGAACATTTGTTCTCACTGCACCATGTTCTTTATGTACTTTTGTGTCTATAGATCCATAAATAATAAATAATATAAAATAAAATAAATAATAATCTGTTGATGGCTCAGTTGTTTCAGTGCAGGTCGAGTTTTGATCAGAACATGTCTGTACTTTGTCTCTATCTAATCTGTACAGAATATACTTCTACATTAAATTCCCTTGAGTTGATTCATTTTCTATTATTTTTGTTGCAGTATTTTGTTTTACAAACTTTTAATTCACAAATAGATCAATTCACTTTCACTTCCAGTTGTGGGATGTAAGTAGTCTATCTGTTCAGTCATCCTATTATATATTATTATTATATTATTATACATATTATTAATATTATCATTATAT